AAGGCAGAATGCAGTTTTCAAACTTCATCGATAGGACATGTAACTTTTTAGTTTGAAGCCTTACAACGCAACAACGGAATCCATACTTTTCTGGAAAGAAAATGCTTTTCGCTTTCGAATGAATTTTGTTAAAAAAATCTAATATGAATGGAGTAACCTATGATAAAATTTCCCAACACTTTTGCAAGGAGTGTTTTTAAAGTTCTCGGGCACTTTCATATCAGAGAACTTTCAATATCGAAGATAAAACTCTAGTTCACGTTGAGCCGACTTCCTTCTCTGACAGTATGTCGCACGGAAAGCGTTCCTTGAATTTCTCTGAAAATTTGGTCTCAAATTTTCTGGTTAGTTATTCAGTAGGAATTATATATCACCAGTTTAGCGCCGCACGCTACCGCGCGCATTAAACGGAAGGTCGGGATGAGACAGGACAGCCGACAAAGCGCTAGATTCACCGCTAACATAAGCTCTTTATCTTAGCAGAAGCTCACCGTTTGATACGCGCAGTGGAGTGCGGAGCTAAAGTGGTGTCTGTAAACAACCACCATGCATCGAATGCCAGTGTAATTTAGCGGTCGGATTGTGTGTGATGTTAAACATAATTATCCAGCACTCGTTATCGTATTTTTGAACTTACACCATACATTTTTAGGAACTCTGGGGGGGGCATAGCGGTTTAGTGGTATTTCGGGCTGATGATAACAACGCAAATGAAAGAATATTGAAATGAAATGCTTTATCTAAAGTCTGGTTTTGAGTGACCTCTATATTCTTGCGCATATCGTTATTATCGGCCCTTATCAGCCGTTATCCCTTTCTTTTTTCCACCATATATGTTCCCGTCATACTCCACATCACTTCTTGGACACCAAAGCCTCACTGATGCTGGGACGCGCGCTATGGATATCGCGGAATTGGCGTTCTGGCGCCTCTTATAGGGCCTTATCAGTCGTTATCACTTTTCCCCCACCAAAGATGTTCCCGTCCTACCCTCTACATCACTTCTTGGAACCAACGCCTCACTGATGCTGGGACGCGCGCTATGGATATCGTGGAATTGGCGTTTTGGCGCCTCTTATCGGGTCTTATCAGTCGTTATCACTTTGGTCCCCCACCAAAGATGTTCCCGTCCCACCCCCTACAACATACTCAAAATACAGCGCTCCACTGTTGCACCGAAGGGCGCTATGAATTTCGTGACACACACACACAGACAGACAGACAGACTTAGCGCTTTATATATAGTAGGGATGCTACATTATTTACGAACTTTCAGATATTACAAGTTAAGAAACACGAGAGGCCTTCCTCTCAATTTCTGATTTGATTTTTGTAAAAAATTGTGGCTGATCTGAAACATGCAACGAGCTCCATCTTCTCCGGGCGATAACATGCTTCAGATCAGATTTACGGGTCGCAAACAGAAAGCCGTGTTTCGTTGTGCCATTTCAATGACAGCTAGATCGAATGGAGTGGTTCTCTAAACAAGATGCTAGAGTGTTACGCCAAGATTAGGAGACGGACGGGAAGGAGCATAAGAAGCGGACGTAAGCTATCTCGTTTCCTACTCTCGTAAGCCGTCTCCATACAAAAAGAATTTTGCAGTAGAGGTTGTCAAGGGATGAGAAGTGACTAGAAACGGGAACACTAGACAAACGCTGTTTTTTATTGTTCTAGGAATCAAAACTAACCGTAGGTTATCGAATGAACGCAAAAACAATTGTCGTAATAGTCGCTATTGGTAATATGTGGTGATAGTTGATGGTAAGTTTAGACAAATGTTATTCATTTTGTCACGGCACTGTCAGATCTCGGCTCTGTTTTGCTCGTGTTTCTCACAATATTTGGTTTGATTATCAATTACTGCGTGGTTTGAGATAGGGTCACCCTTACCTCTTGAAAAGATAAAGCGCGCTAAGGCTGTCTGTTCATCTGTCACGAAATTCAGTACTATCTGAAGAGAAACCTGCTGATCCTGGATCGAATTTGGGATGGATAGGTTACATATACAGTAAAGTACAGTGTACAGGCCACTACAAAGCACACATTAGCTATGCAGAGCTCAACCCACAGTGGGCGGAGCATGCACAGGTGGGGTGGTGCAAATGGCTAACTTTCGAGTCCGATTCCGGAACAACCGACCAGCGACCGGTAAGAAGGGTAATGGTGTGCTGTGAATTGCGTAATCAAATTGGGAAGATCCTCCTGCTTTTTTGGAATTCATCACGGTGAGGAGAATTCTATACAGCAGTCAAAAACAATAGGTGGCGAGAGCGGTCACATATTAATGGAACTCCACCCACAAAGAGTGGAGCATGCCCATTAGCAGACGGTGTTGATTCTTGATAATCCGACTGTCCAAGACTTTCAAAGTGGGGAAAATGGATATAAATAAGGAAGAAGAGAGGGCAGCTTCTATCGATGGTGGGAAATGAGCCGACGTGGGGGGAATTTGCAGTGAAAATCATAACTCGGCTAAAGGCGGTTCAGAGGCCAGGGAAAATGTGGATACAGGCTAGCAAAGAAGAAGGGCGAGTATATTGATGGTAAGGTGTGCACAGAACTGGGTGGAGGTGCTGGAAGTTAGGAGAAAAGCGAAGAGTTACCAACGAAGGAAAAGCACTGTGAAATCTCATTGTGGGCGGACTATGCGCAGTGTGAGTGGGGCTTGGGCAAGAAGGTTCGTTGGATCAGCACGCTGAACCAAGAGCAGGCAGCTTAGTGGCGGAGTCACTGATGACTCAAAAATAAGAGATTAAGGGATGTTTGTCCAGTGACATGCAATCGGACTAAAATTAGGACTTGTTTCTCATATAGTGTCGAGGCGGTATACAAGTGTTCGTCAGTTGATCACTCAGAATGCCAGGTCAGTTAAGGTACATAAAGAAGAATCACCCTGTAGAAACTGACCGTCTGAAATAATGGATAGTGGTCGCCTCTGCTCTCGTCCTCCGTTGTTCTCGAAGCAAGAAACGACATTTTTAGAGTTTCCTTTTCAGAAGAATTCAGAGTGCTGTATATCATCGGTCGGGATCTGGTGAATAGTTCTGAAGATTCACCAACAAGGAGCGGTTGTTGAGGTCCAACAGAAGGAAGACCCGATCGGCTTCTGCATCTTAACGGCTAGCCTAGACTAAAACATCCTGCTCAGCGTGAGACTAACTCCTGCCTTCTTGAAATGGACGAGTTATCACATACCGACAGTCACTTTAGTGTGGAAGTAGTGTAATAGACGAGGATGTGTCAGTCCATCCGACGTTCCTCATTTTTTGTATCAAGCAAATGGTGTTCGCTCTTACTATATCACGATATTCCGATAAAAAAGCGATTGCAGCAATTATCCGATGTGAACCTACCGGCTCATTACCGACTTCCTCAATCCGAACAAAATCACTGTCATGAAGTTGACAAGCCAAGTCCTGGGCTATTGGTGTGCACCCCGGGATTAGCCAGATTAGTAGGAAGGCACCGCGAGAGATTGTATGTCACTAACATACACATCATGATAATTCATGCACGCATTGCACGATTAGCCTTAGTGGGCTGACACGATCACTTGCACGCTCCACCATTTAAGAGTCGCGTGCCTCTTGAACGGTTTCCAGCGTAGTTTGTTGATCTTCGTCGTACATATCGATCTTAAATGAAGGTTAAGTTTCATTCTTGCGTTTCTAGTTGGATTGCTCGTGCTTCCCTTTCCACGTCCAGTTCATTCAGCGGCTCAATCGTCACTACGAAGCGTCTTACACACCAGTTCTATCCAGCGGCGTGCCTTTAATGAGAACCTACAATGTCGGGCTGTCTACATTTTGCCGCAAAATCCTTCCTAGAAACTAACGAACTAACGAAATACTTCGAAAGATAGAAAGTTGAAGATGCTTAACTCCAGTTTTTGTTTACTCGTGTAGGCTTCCTGAGGCACATAGCGTGGATTCTTCTTTGGGATTAGCTGAGAATGATGGCTCAGCCGAATCGAGCAGATGAGCGGCTGTTTTTTGTAATGGCTGGCGGATATTGAGACTGCAGGAATCGCCCTCAATATTGCTCCTGGAAAGTGACTGAAGTCCATCCACTGACTTGAGCAGACTTACAGCAGCAATCTTTTGCTTGCCGCAGCCTGACAGAGAGGCCTCCTTCATTTCTGGCATCATGCAAGGAGCATGGGTGGTAAATTTTGGTTTTACTAGAGGCATTCCGCTATTGGGGACCTGCATGTCCTCTACTTTTGCTTCGATCCGCTCAGTAGAATTGGAGTAATGCCCGACCTTTTTCAGTTGAGTGTGTAAGCGTAACCCTTCCCGCCTCCCTTAACTGTGAAAGCGGAAATCTGCACCGATAGTCGGTCATCAATGAAGTGACTAAAGAAAGATGACCAGTTCAATAGCAAAAGCAATACACTGTGCTTATGCTAATACCAGATTGGTTCCCCGTCAACCGCCGGGACCTTCCTTTCCCTGCGCAAGCTTTACGTCTTCCGCTATGGTCCCTTCCACCTGTGACACCAACACCTCGTGGAAGGTGACGCGTATGCAACAAAAAGGAGTTTCATATAGTAGAGGCATCGCCGTAATCATGACATGACAGTGAAATTACATATATCTACCTTAAGTCGACTAGTGATTGGTTTTCCGCCCCTTACCCGTCCTGTCCTCTCTCGGTTTATAAAGAAGAGGGCAGTGGATTGAAACAGGCCTGCATAAATAGTGATTGCGTTGGAGCACTTTTGTAAAGGCTAAATGGTTTCATCTCATTAGAGTCTCTGTGTATTCAATTTTTGTTCAGAGACGTAGTCACTTTTAATACCATTTTTGACATCAATATGGCTTTGAAGCACCTGTCAGCAATATTACCCTCTTCTTTGACCCTCATCTCCTTCTTTATGATAGGTGCATTTTTCCTGAACTTCTACCGGGTAAATATATGTCGCTAGATGATTTGCGGAAACCTCAGGCATCGCTGTTGCTGGAGCTTTCTCAGTAATGGCAACAAAAACCAAACATTTATTTTATAGTCGTATTTTGGCTAATTCCACCATACACAAATCTAACACGGTCCTGAACGTTTTTCAGTAACGGCGCACTGTAGAGCTCTGGATAGTCAGTCATGGAGAAGTTACCCATCCGTTCAACGCCTTTCAACCACACTTTCCCCCAGTTACCAGATTTCACGTCCCGATAGTGCCTGAAAATATTATGTCATCAACAAATTGATGCACGATTGACCATGAACGCAAGCTCTATTTAAATAGACAATTTCAGCGCTATCACAGGATACGGGAACATCCTCTACAACTAAGCTTAGCAGGTTTAGGAACTTGGGGAATGGAGAGTGCTCTCGAACCCTGGATTCTCTCCTCCCTTGCCTAGATCTTGTTTCCATTTTCAACAAAAAGAAAAGATGCTTTGCAGTGATTCAAAAACATTGTCACTACAATGCCCCCCGTATCTTACGGTAGCACCTATCAGTACTACCCTTTAGTTCGAATGGCGCTTTGCCTGCCTTTCATGAATGGGCGTTCAGAATCACAAAAAATTTCCATTTCGATATGCAAGCGCATATCAAACGAGTGCATGGCGCATCTCAGAGCATGAGAGTATACAGCAGAAGTGTCCGATTGGAGCACGGGAGCGTTGCGTTCGCATTGGCGCGCGCAATCTTCCCCTCGGCGCAGCGCGGGCAGCGAGAAACAGACTATTGACTTTCAAATAAGCGTAATTTTGTTCAATATCAATATTTCTTAAAACGCTAAGTAGATTTGTAATCTACAAAACTGCTTGTTTCAGAAGGTAACCACGATTATGCCTTATCTTCAAAACTACGTCAGTTGGGGTAGAACAAAGAATTCACAGAAATGCGCACTTCGTCCTTTGAAAGGTTGTAACTTTCTTCAAAGAAGGAATTATGAGGAGCGGTAAGAAAAATTGGAAAGCTCAGACTGTTTTCTTTCTAAAAAGTGCTCAAGCTTTGCAAAAACTCTTTCCTTCAAAAAATCGCCCCGTTGGACCGTTTTTTTTGCAAGACCAGGTTTTTTGGCTTTCAATGGCTATAACTTTCTTCAAATTCCACCTTTTGCAATTCTTGTCCCCCTGGGTTGAAGAAGAAGGTTAGAGCTTTCTAACGAATACTTGAACTCCTTTCAAAGTTGAAGGAGTCAAAAAATCGCCCCGTTGGACCGTTTTTGGGAAATCGCGGACCGATTTTTTGCAGAGCGCTGGTTTTTTGGCTTTAAATTGTTATAACTTTCTTCAGATTGAACTTTTTGCAGTTCTTGTCCCCCTGGATTGGAGTAGAAGGTTAGAGCTTTCCAACGAATACTTGAGCTCCTTCTAAAGTCGAAGGAGTC